TTTTTGATAAATTTTCTCGTCATATTTTTTTCAAACTACCCTTGTTGGTAAACCATTCTTTGTTCTTCCAGTATGAAGAGTCCGGACTCGTGTTGTTAACACAGTCAAAAATTAAATTGGGACGACTATTAAAGTATCTGATGCAATTATTTGCTTGATAAAGTTTCTTAGGTCTATTGTTAGTACCGATCCAGATTTTCTTTCTTTTCTGTCGTATGAACAAGAACGAAAAATGCTAATGTACTGGATTGTGGGATCCACTGCATGCCCCCCGCCCGCCCCCCCTCTCTCTCTCTCTCTCTCTCTCTCTCTCTCTCTCTCTCTCTCTCTCTCTCTCTCTCTCTCTCTCTCTCTCTCTCTCTCTCTCTCTCTCTCTCTCTCTCTCTCTCTCTCTCTGGGTGTGTGTGTGTGTATGTGTGTGTGTGTGTGTGTGTGTGTGTGTGTGTGTGTGTGTGAGTGTGTGTGTGTATGTGAGTGTATGTGTGTGTGTGTGTGGTTTCGTGTGTTCCCACTCCCCTCTTATTTTCATAACCGTACCTTTCTGTTCTTCTCCATCCCACTTTACCTGCTCTTCAACTTTATACATTTTCTCTATTATATATCCTTCTTGTCTTATTTGTCTTATAATCGCCACCGCCGCCATCCTTCCACGACTCAAGGTATTAGCTGTGTAAGCCTATTACTCTTTTCCACTGATGAAACAACCGTGAAGAAAGATGACAGTTGCAACAAAGTTCAGCGCGCTCATATGACCTTAGCAGTTGCGAGCGCCGTAAAACCTTATACTACTACTAACAAAGTGAGCACTTTTGCTCCTCAGTCCTTACTTTATTTTACTTTTTCCTTCCCCTGGTATCCTTGGGATGTCGAGGGGAGGTGCAGGTTTCTGCGTCTGTGATAGATATGCTAATTAGTTGTATTGTTCCAGGGCCTTTTTAACCCCATCCAGTCAAGTCTTTCTTGGTCTTCCTCTTGATTTAGCCGGATTCGCGGGTGTGGTAAGTTCTAGCCGCTAGTTGTTTCTGGGGCATTCTGGTTAGATGTCCGAACCATTTGACTCTTTGACGCTCTAATAAATTTACTACTGGTAGACATATGGTCTCGTTCCTTATGCTGTCTCCTCTGGTGACGTTGGTGGTTTTGCAGAAACATCTAATTTCGCGTGCATTGATTTTCTTTTCTCATGCCTTGTTTAGAGACCATGTTTGGCACTGGTATGTTAATGTAGGTATGAAGATTCTATAAAGCAGGATGTTCTTGAGCAATTGTCCTTTAACGCCATATTACTCTAAGACTACCCCCCGGGGCTATGCCATTGACTGAAGTGTCTTTATGCCATTCCAAAACAGAGGACGTTCTAATGCACAGTAGAATTGTAAATGGGCTGATCGAGCAATGGCATGCTCATAACTATGCCTCAACTACAACAGGGAACTGCGCCTTTTTCTTTCTTAATCCTTACTATCGTCATTTTCCTCTACTTCTTTTGTATGTTTGTCACACTCTTGTGACCTGCTATTTCCGGGGTGCCTTGATAGTCTAAGCAGACTTTGTGCTGTAGAAGCTAGAAAGGTGAGCAGAGTAAGTTTGATTCCCTGTAAGGACTTCTCTGTTGACATCCACCCCTTGGCGCTCATGTGATCTTATGCAGTTGCGAGTGCCGTAAAACCGCTACTAAAACCTCTAAGACTTCCCAAAGTTGACATCTATCTACCCTGTCGAACGCCTTTACTTGGTCCACGAAGACGATATTGAGGTCTTGTCATGCTCAATGGCAGTCTCACACAACTGTCCGACAGCAAAAAACCCCGTCAGTACAGCCCTTGCCTTTTCTAAAGCCAAACTGGGATTCACTGAGTTGAGTCTCTACAATCGGTCTCATTTTCATTTCCAGTATCTTGGCAAACGTTATATCCACACGGCTGAGAAGGGATATTCCTCTGTAGGCTCTGTGTTGTTTTTGTCGCCCAGGCCAGGTTAAATATCCTCCATAGCCAGAGTTCTCCGATATGGCCGTATAGTTTGATCTCTTCTGCTGTGATGTTTTCAACGCCTATATCGCTTTGTTTGTGAGGCTATTCTTTATAACATTGACATGTTGGGTTTCAATCTGCAGTATTGATGGTTCTGGAGTGGTTTCTTTCGGTGAGAAGCTGTTTGCTGTTGTTTCTGCTGTGGGATTCAGCAGCTCCTGGAAATGGCGTTTCTATCTTTCCTTAATCTTTGGCTTTCTGAAAATAGGGTTTTCTGTGCTCATCATTGACTATTTCAGTTTGGTTGAATGATTCTTCCCGCATCCTCATGCTTTTTTAACTCTCTAGTAGAACTCTCAAAGGTTTTCTTTACCTTTTGTTACCTGCTGTTCTCCATATACTGACCAGAATCTGTTCTTAGCTTCTTTTACTACCCTTGATGTATATCGGCGGTCCTTTCTGTATAGGATGTAATCTTCCTCCGTCTTTGATTTCTACCACTTTTTTAATGCTTTTTTCTTCAGTTGGACTTCACTTGGTCATTCCACCATATAGTTGTTTTCTTTTTCAGCCCTCTTGTTTTCCTGGTGCCGAACTCTTCTTTTAATGCTCTGTACACACATGAGCTTTGAAGTGGCTCCATTCCTCTTCCATGTCTCCCAATTTTGGGGGAAATTTGTGAAATACATCTTTCAAACGTTCATGTATCTTATCCTTGTTGTTGTCATTTATATTTCTGAGATTTACGACTTCTCATCGTTTCTTTGCTTCTGGCCTTTTCCTGTTTGGTGTGTCAATAGTCATGATGACTGGTCTGTGGTCAGCGTCTGTGATGTAGATGGGAATCACTCTTGAGTCTCAGATTTTTCTCAGTTTTGATCTTTTGGCTGGGATAAAATCAATTTGTGATGCTATCTTTAGATCATTGCATTTGTACCAAGTTTTAACTTGACTCCTTTTGTGTTGGAAGAAGGTATTTGATATGACGAGTTGC